CCCCAGTTTCAGAAGAGGCGGCTGAGGAGCTGGGAGGTCGAGCAGGACGACTGACAAGCTCACAAGGGTAAGTAGGCACATGGTCAGGGGCCATGAAACCAGGGACCCCCCCGGGAACCTCCCCCGCCACCTTGGGCTTTAGTTTGGGACTCTAGAAGACTGCCCTTTGGTAGACAAAGAGAAAACAAAGGCATTTACATTAAAAAGCACAACTGAGAAAAACTGTTAATAGCAGACCCAAGCAGAAGTAAAGTGTATGACATAAAGAAAATCATTCCAGATGGAAGCTTGGTGACACAGGGAGGAAGAAAGCACACATAAAAGGTTAAATTCAACAGGATATTAACTAAATAAAATAATCATAATGTCTGGGTTTAAAAAATGTAGAAATCAAATTAAAATACACAAAAGCGCAATCAGTTCAATTGGGAAGTGAGTAAACGGAGTTAAGAGTTCCAAGGTCCAGGCACTGTCTGGGAAGAAGTAAAGGTAACAGTTTACATTGGACTTTATAAATCAAGCAGTCGTGTTGTAGCCTCTAGAGTAACCAGTAGAGAATAGTAAAAGAGTAACTATAGTAAGATAACGGAGAGAAAATTGGAGTCCGTGTGCTCCATTCAGATTCCATAAATTGTATTTGTGATCTACATCTGTCATATTTAAGCAACTTGTCTTTTGCGTTGTTTTCTTTTTCTTTTGCTGTGTTACTTTTGTTGTTGTTGTATAGATTAAAAGCCCAGGAGATAGAGGTAAAACAAGCATCTAAAATTAAGCTAAAGTCAAACTGGAAGAGGTTTTCACGGGGGAAGTGTTTCTATTTCCCAAATGTGAATACCATCTGTTATGGGTTGAGTTGTGTCCCCTAAAAACATATTGAAATTCTCACCCCAGAACCTCAAAATGTGACCTTATTTGGCAACAGGGTCATTGCAGATGTACTTAGTTATGTCAAAATAGGATGTCAGGCAAACTGGACGAGGTTGGGCTCCCAACCCAGTAAAACCCGTGTCCTTGAGAGAGGAAAGCTGGAGCACAAACATGCCCAGAAGAAGGATGATGTGAAGATACACAGGAGACAGCTACTGGAATTATGCTTCCATAAGCCAAGGGATGCTTGGGGAGGCTTAGGAGGAAGCACTGTGGGGAACACACCTTCATGTTGGACTTCTAGCCTTGAGAACTGTAAGAGAATACATTTCTGTTAAGCCATCCAGCTTGTGGTCCTTTGCTATGGTTGCCTACAAAAATAATATACTGTCTAAGGGACAAAATAGGAGGCCCCTGAGGATCATGAAGAGGGTTCTACAAAGGGTCTGGATCTTCATTAATAATCAGAGGTTGTTTGACCACATCAAAGCAGTGGGGGCTGGGGGGGGGGGGGGGGGCGGGCGTGCTGGTGGTGAAGAGAAGCCAGCCAGAGCCTCCTGGGGACTTCTTTGATCACTGAAAGCAAAGTGTGCTCTCCAGATGAAAAGAATGTGTGAGAGATAAAATGGCTCTGGAGTGGGACTCTTAAGTGAAATCTCTTAAGTGAGTGTTCCTCTTGGGAACTCTGGGGTATTAGCAGTGGCCTCTGAAGGCCAGGCTGCCAGCGAGCATGTCCTTCGAGAGGGCTGCTTGCACGGGCTAAGGCAGCCAGATGGCAGCATGGGGCGGCGGAGTGGGGAAAGGCATCAGGGCAGGGAAAGTTGATAGACCTCGGCCTTGGTTTGTCCATGGGGGTCTGGGACTGGGGTGTTGTTGATGATCACACAGGACGATGCCATTCAAATGGCCTCTGATCCAGCCATGGTGGAATGTGTCCCAAGATCTTGGAGACAGGTGACCCACTTACCTATTCTTGAAGAGTCCGGTAATGAACCATAGACATTAGAGGGGGATTCCTCCCCTCAGCGTGGTAGCTGAGTGCCCACTACACGCACAGATGGAGCTCTAAAATCAGTGTCTCCTACTCGAGTGGTCTAACAGAGGACTGGAGAACACTCTAGAAGAACAGCAGCAGGGGCAGAGCTTCTAAGGAGAGAAAGGAGCGGTCAGACACTTCAGACCCAGCAAGGCAAGAATACCTGGGGTCCCAGTGATTCTGTTTGTGTGTGGTCCATGTCATAGGCCACGATATTGTTCCCACAGTCCCCCCTACCCTTTCCCAGGCAGGTGTGACTGTAGGAGCAAGGTCATGGTGGTCACGGCTGTAATCCACCTTCCTCCCATACATGCCTCCAGACTCCTGTGGCCTGGAGGAACAAGTCTCCACTCCCAACTTTGCTAGGGAAGCTATTAAGGCTATTTGTACTTTAGATATTTCCTTGTAGGGAGGAAGGTGAGAAATATTACATCTAACCATGAGCTGGAAGCCAGTCACCATGACCAGATGGTGTTTTCAGGGTGTGCCTGAGAAACCGTTGGCCAAGGAGGTCAGCAGAGGCCAGCTTGGAGACACAGAGTCCCAAAAGGGAGGTGACCATGCACGGAGAAGTGTGGTCCCTGGCCTAGCTTACAGCTTCTACCTCCTTTCCTAAGAACTGCCCCCATTCTTCCCTGTTCTACTGAGATTTGAGATGTTGTTTTCTGTTTCTGCTGTTGGGATTAAAACAGTTCAAGACTCACCATGGCATACCAATGACAAAGTCCTATTCTGGCCTTTCCCATTTTAAAACTGGAGCCTAGATACAGCAGACGGACTCTAGCAAGGAACCTGGGAGGGAGGGACGGAGGAAGAGAGGAAGGTTCAGCTCCATTTCACAAATGAAGACATCAAGGCATAATCGAGGCATCCAGTGAGCAAAGGCAGAACGGGAACTCGAGCCCAGAAATAGTGACTCTTAGCTCGGGTTACTGTGTTTGGAATGATCATCCTTGTTGGGTTTCTCTTAAGCTATTGATTTGTTTTCAAATCACACACTTACGGTGTTGGGACTACTACGCATAAACACACATGCATTTCTCCCAAATTCTTATGGCAACATTTTCAATTATTCTGGGGATGGGAAAGGAAATAAATTCAGATGTATTCCAACCTGCTGCTCCAATAACAGGTTATTTGGTTCCATTTCACCCAGGACCATGACTCGGGTGACTCCTGTCCTGCCCCTTTCTGTCTCTGCCTGATCTAAGGGCCTGCAAAAACCAGCCGGTCCCCAAGACGCTCCCTCTGTGCTCACCTTCTCCCATCCCTTCAGCCCTGTGTTGCTTCCCGACCCTTGGGACCTGGGATTTGTTGATGTCGTGGCATGCTTCTCTATTTGAGGCCCATGGCAGTGTGTCAGGGACACTTGGTCACCCGGGATAAACAAGATGCATCTTCCTAGAGTATCATGTTTATTGAAAGATTTTTGTGAGGGGTGGTGGAGGTTAGGTAACTTACCTGTTCTAGAAGACTGTTCTCATGTTAGAGTATAGGTAGATGCAAGCTGGAAGGAAACACAAAGCACTTCAAAGGGGCAGCTTTGGCTTCCATGCCCAGATTTCCCCTGAGCAGGGCTGGGCACTGAGGTGCTGGGGGAGGGTGGCCATGGGAACTGATCTAGGAAAGGAAGAGAAGGCGCAGGTAAACAGAAGGTGCAGGTCCAGGTAGGGACACAGGGTAAGGCTGTATAGCCTGGTGGTTGAGGGCCCAGGTTCTGGAGGCCGACATCTGGGTCTAGCCCCAGTTTTACTGCTTCGGACCTGGACTACCAGGTAAGCTGAGCCTCTGTGTCTCCGTCTTATCTCCAGAATGGGCTATCTGAAGGATTTCGCTTTCAGGATTAAATGCAATAATGCACTTACAGAGGTTATTACAGCACCTGGCAGGTGAGGTGAGCTGAATTCACAGTATCCAGTACCATGATCAGGGTCTGAGGGCTCCTCAGGGGAGCCCAAAGCATTGGTTTTGCTTTTCATTTTTCTAGAAACAAGCTGGGAGAGGGAGCGAGCACGACACTACCACGCATGCCCGGAAAGCTAAGGGATGGTGAGTTGCAGCAAACGGGCCAGCTTAAGGCTTAGAGTCTGCAGCTCTGAGAGCCAGAGGAGGGCAGATGAGCTCCAGCACGAGCACAAGAACACTGGCAAAGTGCCATCAAAAGTGGCTGGCCTTAGAGGAACCATGAGAGACGATGGACTCTGAAAAGCAAACTGAGGGTTCTAGAGGGGAGGGGGGTGGGGGGATGGGTTAGCCTGGTGATGGATACTAAAGAGGGCACATTCTGCGTAGAGTACCGGGTGTTATGCACAAACAATGAATCATGGAACACTACATCAAAAACTAATGATGTAATGTATGGTGATTAACATAACAATAAAAAAATTTTTTTTAAAAGTGGCTGGCCTTAGCTGCTGCTTTCCCTGCTGCCGAAATGTTAGCGCTTGCAAAACAGGGGCTCTTATCTGCAGTTATGTTTACTTTTTGTTAATATTCAATGGAAAAAAATGGATCATGGCAAATATTCCATCAGCAGACAAAGTCTTCCAACAATGGGGAAACTCGGTGTGAAATGCTGGGGACTGGCCACTGGGTTAACCTGATGTGGCAATTCTGGTGTATTGTGGGGCCACATTTCATGAAAATTTGCATGCACTGGGATTAAGAGCGGAAACAAACACTTCGGTCTTGGAAGTGCTCATTGAAGAAAGAGGCCAGTTCTGTGCAGGTGGGAGCATTCCTGCTGAGTGAATGTAATACAAAATCAGGCCAGGCCAGGTAAAAAGATAAGAGGACCTGCGAGGTGGAACCAGGATGGGCCCCATCTCTCCCCCTCCCCAGTTCTGGGGGTCACTTTCTTTCTGGGAAGAATTAGACCCGGGGCTTGACTTCACTCCTCTTCCCAATCCAGTCTGATTTGCTGGTCGGGTAAGTCCTTCCAGGTGCCCCAGTGGGAATAAAGCATCCAACTGTTAATTCACAGACTCCCACTCGAAATCAAAGCTTTCCCCCGTTCCTTTCACTGCAAAGAAAGAAATGGAACGGACACTGCCCTCGGAAGTGCCAGACCAAGCCCACATGAAAACGTTTTGATTCCTTTAACAGAAAACCATTTATTTTTGGTTCATTTCAGTATTTATAGCAGTGCACATGTAATGCATTTCAGTCCACATGAATAGTTCCCAATGGTCGGAGCAAATTAATCTCTTACAAGCTACACAGCAGTGAGGTTAGAAGATAAACAGTAGGTGAGATAGTACACGCTCCCTTGTACGTGAACCTTCCTATTACAGTAAACTACATTCGAGCTCACCGCATCCAACGACTGCCACTCTCTCTGTTCATGTGGCAGCCCCAGCTACCCCCTGCCACCTCTGCCCTGCTGGGGTAGTTCTCTGATCAGCCACCTGGGTGGGACTCGCTGCCATTTTCAGTTTGGAAGGAAAAGCCCGTAAATCTGCTTCCTGGGAAGACAGACATTGCTGAATTGTCATGTGCCTCCAGAATGCAGAAAACATCAATTTCATTGCAGCTCATCAGAGTTGGAAACACCTGCCACTTCCTTTCTCAGTTGCAATTAACATGCTGCATCTCAGCATTGATTGCTTCCAAGCAGCCTAGCACTGCCAAAGTAAAGGTTTAAATGAAATGGTAAAACTTGACACTATTTTCCACAGTTTTAGAAACGAACTTATTTTTATTGCCAAAGAAGCCCTGCAATTGTTGGGAGTAAAAGTCTTTACGCTTGAGATAAATGTGAGTAGAATAGGCTGATGCTTATAATAAAAATAGTTCTTTATTTTTGTATTTATTTGGGAGTAGTACTTGTTTATCTTTGCATTTGTTTTTGGGTGGAGCGGAGGACTAATATTCCTCCCTCTATGCCAGCCCCTACTCTGGGGCTGCACGACCCCATAGGCAATCAGAGAATGTTTGTTAAACAAACAGATCAACAAATGAATGGTTTGGAAGAGCAAGCTTAAGAACTGTCCTCTCAGTCCATCTTAAGTAAAATCCTTAACTTGCAACTATCATGAGCCCTTTAGTTTAACTTAGAAGCTGTGTGAGCCTGCGTTTAGAATATGATCTGAGACTGGGGCTTTATGTATCACCCAGAGTCTTACGTTGTCCAGCTTTGATCATGAGTGTTCTTTTATGGGACAGAAGAAGTTCTTTTCATCATAATCCTATTCGTATTGCATTAAAAAAACCTGTCTTTAAAATGTACAGTATTTTACATTTTGAGGGTCTTAGAACATTCTTTATTTGTGAATAAGGAATGGAACTATTCAAAATAATTCAACAGCCACATTATTTGTGTCCTTTTCGAAGTGTTCATTGGAATGGTTTTAGGTACTGTTAAGCTGAAAGCCGGTGTAAGTAGAAGGCTGTTACATATGAGGTTTATGTTTCAACTTGGCCAGATAAGACTCAGCCTTAAACCACAGAACATAGTCTTTGGAAGAGAAAGTGAACAAATTGCTTCTCTCATCTATTAACAGAATAGTAGGGCCAAGAAACACCTTCTTTCTTGGCCCTCTTGGGAGAATCTTTCTTTTAGATAAAAACAGAACAAATTAAAATAAGTGGCAATTAATTCTTTTGTATAATAACAACCCAGACACTATACATGGGAGCATCCTCTGTTAAATGTACGCAAGCACCAAGTAGCGCACTTTCATGTAACTGACAGAAAAGACTGGGTTCGGATACTTCTAAACATTCTAGAATAAAAACTGAAGTTCTATATCTTTTTTATTTAAATGAATTTTTCTTCAAATAAAAGTCCTGAGTATCTGTAGTCTTACCTTTAAATACATAATGACTGAAAATATTATTTTAACTACCTCCATAAATCTTTAATACTATACAACTCACTGCCCCAAACATCTGGGTTATTTGTATGTTAAATAGCTTATATACCAATATCTTAATGCCAGTGGTATAACGCAGGAAAACCAGAATTAGGAGGAAATCATATTAGCAATTTCCACCACATATATAAATAAATAAGAATAAACAGCCGTAAATGGCACAGTTTTGATAGATAGATGCTTGCACATATTCCCTCATAGAAGAATTCATGCACTAGAAGGTCTGATTCTTTTTTAAAAGAAAGGAAAAAGGAAGATGAAGGAAGGAAAGTAGAAAGGAAAAGAGAACCGCAACCTTTGGAATTTGGTATGCCACAGAAAGGTTGCATTTAACCCCACCCCAAATGTTGGCGGGCTTGGAAAATCCAGTTACATTTCTCATTTCTGGCTTGTTGGCTGGCCAGACTGGCGTGTGCGGACAGCATCTCAGACAGAAGTGGTTCATGGTCAACTTATACTGAGGAGAGCCAGGTCTCTGGTCAGAGCCAACTGTTGCACAGCACCTTCTGTTCAGTGACACATTTACACACTTGCAGAAATGAGAGAGGCCAAACATATAACAAAGAGTTCCTCAGTCTGTCTCTTGTCAGTGACAGACTGAATCTTCAAAGAATCCCATTGAGGGAAAAACAATCAAATACCTTCTGACAACAGATCACTATGTAAAACAGATCAGTTTTCTTTGGTTCCCATATGACCCATCAGAAGGGCCCAGGAATCCCTTGCCAGTGCACAAAACTCTATCTCCTGGCTTTCTTTTCACACTGAAAATGTCATTTAAAAAAATCCATGACCCAGTTTGGGATTTGGTCCCTGCATTGTAAATGGGATCACGGCACTCAGCTCCCAGTGAAGTCAGAAGTGGTTTTGTCCTTGTCCCGTGGAGTTCCTGGGGAATCCCTGGAGAGAGTGTGGGAGACGCTTCTCTTTAGACCTGAGAAGATTGCCTTCAGGAAGCATTCTCACCTTGGATCACTAATGGGTGTGTTTTCAGTAACAGCACCAGCCTCACTGATACTTTATCAACAAATGAGTTTCCCTTTTTGCCATCACCAACAGTTATATAAAAAAGCACTGGAAAACTATTCATTTTCTAGAAATGCTTTTTTTTTTTCCCAGGGACAAAGTTTTCTTTCCTTTTTTTTTTTTAAATAAAATTAAGGTGCAAATGTTGTATTAAATTCTCATTGCTTATGTATATTATATTAAGGCTTATAAATACAACTGGTAAATTAAATTCACCCTGGATTGAATTAACACCTGCTATATGAGTTATTTGCTTTATGTAATCAGTAATCTCAAGGTTTCTCCTTTTTCTCTGCAAACACAATTTAAATATTAACCTAATCTTTAAACTGCGGCTGCTTCTTTCTGACATTTGGAAACCGGTCATCCATGCAAAAAAAGGCAAATATGGATATATTTAATGAAAAGGCAGCTTCTTAAAAATCTGAAGATGTGTAACTCAATGAATTGGGAAGATAAATGATAAAGGCAGCAGGAAAGTCGCTCTCTGTGTCACTTTCTTGGGAAAACAATGCTGTTCATCTGCCAAGGTCACCTCCAGTGTGAGACCTGCCAAAGGGACTGCCGATCTCCTAACAGTCTTTGTATTTTCTTCATTATAATCTCTGGAAGGGTCTCGGGCAGTTGTACTCCGTATGGAAGAATTTTAGTGTTTAAGAAAAGATGGCAATAGGGTATCCCTTAAGTTCTAGGTACGGCAGATCCTGCCAAAGGAACTGTGAGTGAGTGGGGTGTGCCTGGCCCCATCCGTCCTCAGCCGGCACCCTGGGTGGGGAGCGCCTTGGGCCTGCTCATGTCCTGCTCAACCGACAGTCCCTGGAGAATATGAAGCTTTCAAAGTGCTGGTCTTCAGCCTTTTCTTTTATGCGCTGTTCCTCCAAGGAGTCCACGAGTCTGTCCCTTTGTTCAATCGCTTGCATCATCTCGCTGAATATTTCTCGCTCCTCATTCAGATCATTCTCATCTTTCTGGCTCTCTAAAAAACAAAAAAGGAAAAGCATGGGACCTCAGGTAACATTTGGCCCAGGGAGAGAGCTCTTGGCGTGGGCAATCTTGATTGTTTTGGACTTGTTCTTCCTTTTAATTTCCATGGAGAAAACAAGGAAATGAATTTAACACCAGGGAACTGTTCTTGAAGCCACAGATTAGCAAAGAAGGTGCTTTGTGCTGCAGTCAGCTCAGTTTCCATCTTGAGAATATATATAAAGCAACAGGGGGAAATCCCTTTGTGAGGAAAAGAATTATCAGCCAAGCCCGACTGAGTCCTCCAGCCTCCCCTCCCCCTCAAAAAAAAAACCAACAAAACAACAAAAAGGCTGTTTTCCCTAAACATGTCCTAACTACAACAAAGAAATCTATGTGCAAAGTTTCTAAGTAAACCATCCACATTGGTGGCTACTATTTCAATGACGAGAATCCTATTTCATCAGTAGTGAATGACAAATTTCAGTCCTTTGAGTAGAGACCAGGCAAGAGCAAAATAAGGCTCTGGTTGGCCGATGGGACTGTGTCTCCAGACTGTAACTATTTTTTCCCTTTTGCCTTCAGAGTACAAGAGCTTCTTCCTAATTGGCCTGACGCATCCGATTGCCTAGGGGATATAAGATTGCTATAAAAGGAAGGGAAAGAGTAAGAAACAGGTAGTAATGACTTTCTGAGAGTCAAAATAGATGTTAAGGCAGATGGAAGCCTTGTCAACCAGATTACTGCCTTGGGAGAGGATTTTATAGTAAATACCTTCGCCCCTTCCCTTTAACAAACTGGGGTGTAGGCAGTGAGCCCGATCCTGGAGCAGACAAGGGCCACTGTTTCTCACGTGAGGCTTAGTTCTGAGGACAGGGTCAGGAAGAAGGTACACATGACAAAAGGAAGAGGGAGAAGCACTATTCCCTTTGCACCTCATGTTTTATAGGAGAGAGAAGAGAAGCAGAGGTTGAGAGCTCTGTGCTCCAGCCTCTCTACTCTGGGCCAGGAAATGTCATACTGTTTGGTGAGAACACTGGGGGCCAAAGGATTCTTACCCTGCCCCTTGTTTGGAATTCTGGGAAGAAGCCAGCTGGAAGGGCACCCTATGTGTAAACATGGGGCAGTACGTTGTGGTTGGGTAGAGAATGGTCTGAGGCTGGCTCCCCAGATCTCGATCTGCAGTGTATGGCCTAGGTGGGGCCCAGAAGTGCCCACCAGCCCCAGAGCTGCCAAAGGTAGCTGGTCATAGGGCTCCCCCACGTTGAGGAGCGATGTGGTCCCACCGTGGAGACCGTCCGGCCAAGCTGAATGGAAGATGTGCTGAGGTGAGGCTGAGTAAGCCAGGGAATGCCACCAGGCTCCAGGCACGCTAAGGAGGGGCCAGGCTGTGGAGGATGCGAGTTATACACCTTGGCTGCAAATGCCAGCAGAGAGAATGGTGGCCCAATGACAGGACACAGCTGTGCGGGGGCTCAGTGAGTCAAAGCAACCAGTACAGATACCTAACGCCTCGAAGTCACAAACCTGCCTCTTCCAGTTACCTGGCCTTAGTGAGAAGGGCAGAAGGTAAAGGTGGCCATCTCCAAGACGGAACATTTTCATCCCAAAGAGACTGAGCACTTCCTACAGGGACTGTTTAAATTATTGCAACAGACTGAGTTTACTAGAGAGGGATAAATAAAGTTCTTTTCTTTCTTGCTCACTGGTGGGATAAAGCTTTTGTGGAAGCTGAGCTCAGGCATAGTCAAAATGAAGAAGCCTTTTTTTTTTTTTTTTTTTTACCTGAGGGGTGGGAAGAAATGTATGATCCTCACTCCTCAGTAAAAATTTAAAAAAAAGAAAAGAAAAGAAAATTCAAAGGTGGCTAATAGGGTCTGTTGGTGGTATTTATTTTACCATCCTGAAATGGAGCAAATTTAAATTTTTATTAGGTGTGTAAATCAGATATTATGCTGTATGGTTTGTTAATCTAGGTCTATTCCAGTGTTGGTCCTTATTTGATAATCAACACAGAAAAAAAATTCCTTTCTCAATGTTGGCTTCTTATCAACGGACTCATCTGAGCCTTTCTGACAAATATAAATGATGTATACCAATTTTATCTGTTCTATATAGTGCAGCCCTGTAAGGATTTTGCTAGAAATAGAATTTTGTTGCTATAAAGAAGGTCTACAAATCACTACTATGTGGGAAAGAGCAGGAGACCCTGAGTCTGTGGTGGTCTGTTCCTGAATCTCAGCCCCCTCACTACTTAACCTTGAGCGCGCCAACCGTGCTGAGACTCAGTTTTCTAAACTGTAAAATGGGGACAAAATGCCTAAGTAAAAACAATCATGATGGGGCGCCTGGGTGGCTCAGTTGGTTAAGCGACTGCCTTCGGCTCGGGTCATGATCCTGGAGTCCCGGGATCGAGTCCCACATCGGGCTCCCTGCTCGGCGGGGAACCTGCTTCTCCCTCTGACCCTCCCCCCTCTCATGTGCTCTCTCTCTCTCTCTCTCTCTCTCATTCTCACTCTCTCAAAATAAATAAATAAATCTTTAAAAAAAAAACAGTCATGATGATTACTAATATTCACTAATATCCAGTTTTTACTAGGTGCTTCCCCTGTACCAGGCAAGCTCATAGGGAGGTGCCATGTTTAGTCCATGATGTATAAAGAAATAGCTGACCTTGTTGAACTTGTCCTTTTAGACCTAGGTCTAAGTGCAGGAAAGCCATGCATGGATCTGGTCCCACGAACGCACAGACACAAAGCATTGAGTATGCCCAGCATGCTGGAGCCAATGAACACATAAACCAGGACAGTGTGTCAACTGAATTCATTTCATTCTCCCTCCTCCATGGTGATCATTTCCTCACGTGTGTTGCCCCGGCCCCGCCCATGTGGGGAAGGCTATGGCCAGTACCGTGTCTAGTGCCCGGGGGACCGAGGCCGGCCTCCCTTGGTGCCCCTGTCCTGGGAGGGGGCTCAATCATCCCAATGTGTACCACAATCACCTGTCTGCGCGTTGGCTTCCCCGGTGGGACCCCAGAGCTGGGGTGCTCTTCTTCATACACCAGGCCCACACGAGACTCTCCGCAAGTCTTTCTAAACTGAATAGATGGGGAAGTGAATGAACGGTTTCATTCTATTAGCTGGTAGGATGGGATCCAATGCCGCCTGCAGCCCAGGTGACCGAAGCCAGAGCGCCTCGCTGTGCTGGCGGAGGGCTTGCACCTCTCCAGCACCCCCACTCACCTCCAGGCTGCTCGCCCAAGACGGGAAGAGCGCCTCGCTTGGGGATTTGTGGCGTGCTCTGGGCAAGGGCCTTTCCGGGGAAAAATGTCCTTCACAGGGGCCCAAACTCCTATCACTGTACTCACCCTCCTTGAGCATTTTCTGTCTTAATTTCTGTTCCAGTCTGCTTTGACGATCTTCCAATTCTAATTCTTGGGCCCTGGGGGTAAGAAAATGTTCACACCTTGTAAATACCGAAGATCTGCCTAGAAACACTGCCTAGTAAGCTCACCGACTAGAGCTGCTATATTCTTTTTGCTTTTTTTTTTTTTTTTCTTATTAAAACTGGGGTCTTGGAATCTCTCTAAATGGAAAGGTCTGGGGCTGAAGGAGCCGAGAAGGGCTGCTGGGATACGCTTAAGTCCAGAGACGCTGGAGCAGCTGAAGGTTGGAATGTGATCCCTGGGGGCGTTTGGAAGGCCACTCAGGCCACCCTCCAGACAGATCATTAAGAAATGGCTACTATAATCCAGGGGAGAGGAATGACAATCTAAAACTCTTTTCTCTCTTAGGGGCAACATGACTTCAGGTATCATCTCTAACAACTCCCAAATCTCTGAATATGGTAAACAACAAAACAAGGAGGAGACAGGAGTGAGCCATTTTATCCAGGTAGAGCAAAAACATCCAGACAGCTATCCATTTGGTGGTAGGAGATGTGGAAAGAAGAGTCAGTGATGCTTTGGAGTCATCCAGCTGGGGTCTCTGTTTCCACCAATAGAAACAGCAGAGTCGAGAAGTGAAGTTAGTTCTCGGTGAAGGTCAGTTTGGCACTTCTTGACATTTGAATGCCTGGAGATATCCCATGTGCATGCAAGGGGATATGCTAGGCTTTGTGCAATGTGGAGGTTCCCAACTCTGGAGCACTCAGGAGAAATGAGGACCACACACAGATTGTCACAGGGCTCAGAGATGGTAGGTGGAAACAGGTGATCCCTAAAAGGAAGACTATAGAGAAAGGAAAGGTTGAAGACAGGAGCTTGGAAATGCCTCCATTGAGAAGCCAAACAAAAGAGATATAACCAGGGAGGAAGCCATCAGAGCTCTGAAAAGCTATCAAAATAAGCAAGGCAGCATCACAGAAACCCAGAGGAGAGAGTTTTGAGAGAGAAGAGAGAGGCTGAGGTGAGAGAGGATCACTGCTACAGAGACACCGAAGGGGGGAAGGGCTGAGAATAGGGCCCCACGTTTGACAACGTGGGGCCTTCCCTTCCAGCCCCACCCACAGTGCACATGTGTAACTGCCACCGAGTTGGGGTCGTTTTGCTGTGCCCTGCCGTCGCTGCCTTATTTCTACTACTTCTCCTACTGCTTGGGCCAAGATCCCTGCCATGTTCAATATTCTGCCTTTTGTTATTGACCCTGAACTTCTCTTGGCCCACTCTGGTCACCCATGGAAGTGTACCCCTCAAGGCTTCCTTTAGGAGAGGACTTTCTGGGCGGAGTGCAGAGAGCTGACTGTTGAGGCACAATCCACTCAGTGTGGTGCTGAGGCCACGCTGTCCCCGGGCAGCTCCCAGCCAATGACAGAGCACAGAGGGCAGTCTTGGAGCTGGACTCCCCTGACGGCATCTCTGCTCTGGTACTCCCTTTGGCTTGGCAGAGATGTTCTCGGGGTTGCACTGCAGTTCGGAGGCTCCTCTGCCCAATTCTCTTTCCTCCCCCTCTCCTTTCACAGGTGTCATGACCACAGAGGGTCTGAGACTTCCCTCTTACTCCCCCTCCCATTCCCCCTTTATCCCACCATGTCTCTTATATTTATTTTTCTTTTTTTCTTTTTTAAAGATTTATTTATTTATTTATTTGAGAGAGAGAGAGAGAGGGGGGAGGGGCAGAGGGAGAGAGAGAATCCCAAGCAGACTCCCCACTGAGCACAGAACCCGACACAACGCAGAGCTCGATCCCGGGACCCTGAGATCACGACCTGAGCCGAAATCAAGAGCCAGCCGCTTAGCCGACTGAGCCACCCAGGCGCCCCGTCTCTTGTACTTCTAATCCTGTCTTGGCATCTGCTTTCCCAAACCACTCAAGTCGCTTGTCTAAGATGTTTGCCTAAACTAAAATCAATCCCTTAACAGAGCTCCCGCCTGCTTTTGTCTAGGTCCCAGGCCTGAGTTCTTCCCTCCGGCCGCTCTTGGAGAAGGCTCCCTCTGGCTGCATGCTAACTAGGGAAGCCAGGCGCGGAGCAGGAGCAGTGGGAGCCGCCGCCCTCCTGATTCTCCAGGGAGAACCTATGCAGACTGCGCCTTCCACAAGCCTCCATGGAGCTCTCGCCATGTTTTCTTATTGCCGGTGTGCTGTGTGTTTGCATGTCTGTCTCCCCGAAACCACGAGATCCTAGAAGATAGGGACTGTGGCCCCGCTCATTCTCTCCCCAGTACCCAGCAGTTACTGGCACTGAGAATGTGTTGGATAGGTTTTTGTTGAATGAACGTTGTGATTCAGAATCTGTTCCATAGGCAGGTGGTATGACTGTGTAAAAAGGCTTTGCAGGGGCGCCTGGGTGGCTCAGTCATTAAGTGTCTGCCTTTGTCTCAGGTCATGATCCCAGGGCCCTGGGATCAAGCCCCACATCAGGCTTCCTGCTCCGCGGGAAGCCTGCTTCCCCCTCTCCCACTCCCCTTGCTTGTGTTCCTGCTCTTGCTGTGTCTCTCTCTCTGTCAAATAAATAAAATCTTTTTTTTAAAAAAAGGGCTTTGCAGTCAGAGGGGCAAGAACAAGTGTTGCTCTGAGTCTCAGCACGCGTATCAACTTAAAAAACAGTGAGCAAAAATAATAATTACTGAGGAAGATGCCTTCTTCCTCATTCCCGGACTTTCTTTCCATGTCCATGAACCTCAATGAGTGTAATTCCTGGCCTCCTTCCCCACTCCCCACTCCCCACTCTTACTCTCTCTCACCCAGGAAGAGGCCAATTTGGGAAGAAACTAGGTGAACTCGGCTCACACCCTTTTTCTCTTGGATCAGCCAGCCTGGAGCAGACCTGTGTTCTTGATGCCTTTGAGCCTTGCCATAGGTCTAGGGCAAGACTTCTCAATCTTGACACCATTGGTGTTTTAGGCTGGATAATTCTTTGTTCAGGGGGGAGCGGGGAGAGGGGGCGTCCTGTGCATTGTACAATGTTAAGTAGCACTATTGGTCTCTCCTCACTAGATACTAGCAGCATCTCCTAAGTTTGACAACCAAAAATATCTCCAGATATTGTTAAATAGCCCCTGGGGGGGGGGGTGAAACTGACCCCAGTTGAGATCTGCTGGTCTAGAGTAAAAGCCTTGACCCTAAGAAACAAGTAGGTCCATTAACTTTTGTGATGACATAGGTGAATATGTGTCATTCTGGGGTCAGGTTAGTGTAGTGGGTTGACTGGTTACCCCCAAAGATATGTCCGCATCTGGCTGAGTGACTTCGACTCTATGATAAGATCCACCTCTACTTTCTGATCTCCTTCCAGGCTGCAACTTCTCATTCAGAGAGCACAGCCAGAGAGGTCTCAGTCCCTCAGTATGTTAAATATGCAAGGAAGTGGCCAGGCAGATCTCCCCAAGCCCTTCCCAGGGTTCATACTCAGAGGCCAGACACAGGCTTCCCCAGTGCAGGTGTGTGACTGCAGATGCCCCCCCACACACCGGTCTGGGGGACAAGGACAGACTGAAAATACCTTATCCAAATGCTCTCCAGCTCCAGACCCATCACCTGACATCTTTTTTAGCCATAGGACTCCACAGAGAGAACAGACAACTGAAGATTCTCTGCACTAATGCCAATATGATATGCAAGACACCAAATATCAATTTGCCTCAATCACAATTCTGTATGCACGAGGAGAAAAATTCCTGGGACTTCAACCCGGGAGGGCGAGCCACCCCACTCCCACCCCCTTTGCTTTTAGGACTCACTGTTATCTGTGTTGCCTTACTTACATGATCAGTAGCTCCGACTCATATCGCATTAATTTATTCTTCTCCAGAGCCAGCTTAAACCATTCCTGCAAAAGCTGTGCTTCATCTTGTGTGCCTGAATCTGCTTAAGAAATCAACAGCAAATGCGTTAGATTGGCATTTTTCTCCCTGTGATCAACCTGCTTAGGAGCTGCGCTAGTGGGCCATGTCTGTAGCGGGAAAAGGCTCAGCAGGCAGCAGCCCCCTGATGGCCTGTTGATGCCTCAGGTTGCGGGCCTGACAAATCAAACCCCCCTGTGCATGCTCTGGGGGAGAGGTCCTCTTGGACACTGAGGGCAGGAATCCTTCAGCTCCAAGGGTCATATAATCTTGATAATGTCCTGCCACAAAGGAAACTTCTCTTGCCTACTAGTAGGTTCTCTATAAAACTTCTGTATGTTTATGCATCACATTCACCACCAAAGAAAATCCTAGTAACTCTGCTGGTTACTACTATCTCCTCCTCCCTTACTGAGTGCCCAGGTGGGGTGTGGCTCCCTTCATGGGGCAGAGACACCCATGCCACATTTAATCATAGAGGGGTGGTGATGGGCATCGTGATTTTTTGCACAAAGAAAAGCCAAATGATGAAAAAAAAATGTTATTAGCTTTGAGTCTCACTCGAAGAGTTATAGTCATACCTTCTTATAACTTAGATTTATGACCTTTATTGAGCATAAGAATAACCATGAGAAAACCGACACTGCTTTTAGATATGCACTATTAGATGCTAAAGGTTTATATAATACAATGTTAAAATCTGGGCATATTTCATAAGTAGCAACATGGAGGTGGCTTTTTAGTATTTCACCCTGAAATGAGGACACACAGGCTATATTGCAAAGCTCATGGCCATTCTAGACGGATTTATACTGGAGTGTCCCATAGGCAGAGGGGAAAACAGTGCAGATGGAAGTTATACATGACCTTGAGCCTTTGCTTCTTCATTGGTTAAACTGAACAATAAGACACACAATATAATAGTAATAAGCTACTGTTTATTATGCAGTGATGACATGCCAGTCAGTGGGCTCCGTGCATTACATGGGACATCACATTTAATCCTCATGACAAACTCACCAGTAGGTTTGCTTATTGTCACCACCTGATAGCTGAAGACAACAGAAGTTTAGAAGATTAATTTTCCCAAGCTCACAGTTAGTAAGTGGCAGAGCCAGGGCTTGAACTCAAGTGAGACTTATCCTAAGCCTGGGCTTTTTGCTGCTTGTATAGCACTGCCCCCCTCCTCCTCACTCCTTCCTTCCTTCTTATGGGCATGAAAGGTAAGTCACATCCCTAGCACATTGCCTTGTACCTAGTAAGTCATCCATAAAAATGAGTTCCCTTTTCTTCCTTTTTTTTTTTTAAAGATTTTCTTTATTTGAGAGAGAGAGAGAGCACAAGTTGGGGGAGAGGCAGAGGGAGAGAGAAAGAGAAATGCAGACTCTCCGCTGAGCAGGGAGCCTGAAGCGGGGCTCCATCCTAGGACCCTGGGATCATGACCTGAGCCGAAGGCAGATGCCCACCCGACTGAGCCCCCTTCCCTGTCTTCTTGACCACCTTTTTATTGATATGGACACTTGAGTCTAGAGAGATTTATATAAGTGCCCCAAATTATATAATTAATGGGTAAACTGGTGCTATAATGCAGATCTTGACTTCTGAAGAATTCATTCATTTGTCCATTTCATCCATCCATCCATCCATCCATCCATCCATCAATTCATTCATTCATCTAATAACACCTATTTATTGAATAGGTATTGAATACTGCTTTAGGTACTGGGGATACAGTGACAGATAACGGTACATATCATGAGAAATTTGGACATAGTAAGGCATAATGGCTGCCATCTCTCTCTCTCTTTTTTTAAGACTCTTTGGAATCAGATGGATTTAAAGAGCTAGAATAAAATAGACCATTAGGAAACTCCTGCAACAACAAAGCAGCAAAAAACTACTCTGGGAAAATGCAGAAGGGAGGGTTTTCCTGGTCAGGATGTGAAGCTGGCAATGTCAGCAAAGACATGGGGATGGAACAGAAGGCAGCAGAGACAGAGATCAGGCAGGGCTAAGGGGGATGGAAGGGTGCAGGGTGAGGTCTGGGCATGTCTGAGGATCTCATCATAGAGGCCACTGAACGTCATACTAAGGCTATTGTACTTTATGAGGGACATGCAAGGTGGTGGAGCAGGATAATTTAGGTCAAGTTTTACACAGAAAGGATTAAAAGGGAGAGAAATAAGCAAGATGTTATTCTTCCTTAGGTTTCTTGGATGAACGAATGAATGACTGAATTTATAAACATGTTGAGTACCAACATCTTCTAAGTAACGTTCATGGTGCTGAGGGGCAGGAATGAATAAGCATTGGTTTCGACTCTTAGGGAAACAGGGAGCTTGCAGGTCAGTGGGGAAACCCAACACTGCACAGCCAAATAGAATACAATGTGTCCCCTTGCTATGACAACACTGAAAGAATCAAGTATATAGACCAGAGATCATATAGAACATAAAAGTTACTTTAAACTCAGACTTGGGATCCAAGTTGCACTCTTCGACGCTCCATTACCGGGGCTTGAACACTTAGCGTAGCCTCCCTGAGCCTCAGGCTTCTCATCTGTTACGGAAATGCAGCGGGATTGACTGTGCACACAAAGACCTTAACACAGCCCCCGCACATGGTTTAAGCTCAGTAAGTGGTAAGGGTCATTTTCCAGGATGCAACTGAAAGGGAGTCTGAATCAAACAGACTATCAACAGTTCAGAGTGAAGAGACCCTCCTGCACCTTAGCCCAGCACCCTAGGGCTGCAGAGGTCTCTTAGCTGCCATGTGTCTTCACTGGGCTCTTACTACCTTGCACACAAGGTGGTCTTTCCACACTGGCGGTGGTGAAGTCTGATGACTCTGTGTTCTATTTGTACAACTGATCTTTTCCTTCACCTGAGTCAAGACTTTCTATGTATCTTGTTAAATATCATCTTGTTTATTCTGTTTCATCATAGGGGAATCTTTTGAATATTTTATCTAGCTGACACAGACCTCACTTTGGGATTTCTGCAGAATTGATAAATGGGCATCCTGGACCTTTATGCAATATTGAAAAACAAAATGTCAGATGGGACTGGACCAAGAACAGAGCCATCTGGCCCATCATCAGGGACCCTTCTCAGGCTTCGGGTAAGGCTGTTCTACAGACTCTAAATGCACCCGATCATCCAGCACACGTCTATGTTTTGTCCATGAGACTGTTACAGGAAACTTTGGTAAACTAATTTCCTGAAATCAAGCTTCACAATGTCTGCCATGTCCATTGGCAACGGCAAACCTCACAACTCCACCTAGAAAAGGAAATGACATTTGTTTTCACAGCTTCTCAGTAAACACCAGTGGTTCCTAGTAATCTCTAAATTTCTTTCTAAATATTCACGATTTCTTTAATAATCCTTTCTAGAATTTTGACAAGGATCAGAATTCATATTTCTTTCCCATGTGATGTGAAACATAGAAAATATAGTGGCCTTTAGTCTTGGGTTCTGGAATTCTCCATGGGTTTCCAAAGACAGAGGTTACATCTACCAGTTATTTCAAACACCAGGAGGTTAATTTGGTTCATTCAACAGATTACGATTGAGTAATGCCACACGCAAGACACTAATCTATATACCATCTTTCACCTGGGCTTAGAAGCCTGAATTCATTGCTCTCATCTCATTTTTCTCACCTAGATTTCTCATCCAGATTCAGTTCCCTCTTCTAGATGTGTTTAACATTTCTAGATTGCGGACCATTTTCCTTGATAAAGAAAACATAAAAGCTGAGAGTTGGAAATTCTGCCTTTTTTCATCATGTAACATTACACCATCTGCCTGAGCACTGGGCCTCTCCTTTCCTTGTTCTCAATCCAAAAGAAACAGCTTTAAAGGCACTATTTTGCTGTCTTTAGAGTTTTGTGGGTTTTTTTCCCCCCAGATTCAGCCTCTTTGCTGCATTATACCCACAGGTTCTAGCCAGACTTTTATCCTGCATTACATGTTTCCTTCTTAATTTCTCTTATGTATCCTTCTCAAACGTGGTCCATGAGAGCGTCGCCTTGCAGCCGTACTGATTTCTACTGATGCTGTACTCAACAAACACAAGTTGAACTGAATCATTCCATTCAATCTTCTTTTTTTTCCCATGAAATAATTTACAGTAGTTTTTTGGAGTCTTCCTTTCCTCAACAGTCAAAATCACTTCGGGGGCTGTCTTTGAACTACCAAAATTGATCCATTTTCCTGTTGATGGATATCTAAGTTGCTCTTCATGTCCTGCTCTGGAATATACACTTGCAAATGAGCTTCTTGAATAGTATTGTATACAAAGCGTCGGTCAGTTTCACAGCAGAAAGCCAAAGTGTTTTCCAAAGAGCTATGACTGTTTTCACTCCCACTAACATTGAATAAAAAGCTCCCCTGGCTTCTTATCCTTGCCACATCCTTCATATTACCAAGTTTTATAAATTTTGGTAATTTAATAGTTTAAAATAGTTTCTCATCATAGTCTTCATTTGCATTTTCCTAGTTACTAATGAGTATTCTTTCTGTGAAATATATTTTTTATTTGCTTATTTTTATTTTTTAATTTAAATTCAATTAATTAACATATAATGTATTATTCATTTCAGAAGTAGAGGTCAGTGATTCATCAGTCTTATAGAACACCCAGTGCTCATCACATCACGTGCCTCCTTAATGTCCATCAGCCAGTTACCCCATCCCCCAGCCCCCTCCCCTCCAGCAACTCTCGGTTTCCTACCGTTAAGAGTCTCTTATGGTTTGTCTCCCTCTCTGATTTCGTCTTGATTTATTTTTTCCTCTCTTCCCCTATGATCCTCTGTTTCGTTTCTTAAATTCCACACATGAGTGAAATCATATGATAATTGTCTTTCTCTGACTTATTTCGCTTAGCATAATACCCTCTATTTCCACCCACATCGTTGCAAATTATTTGCCTATTTTTAACCAGGAGATATTTGCTTCTCTATTTCTTATTGATTTGTAAGTGTTCTTTACATAGTCTAGAACACTGATTCTTTTTTGG